AGATACAGGGTCTCCTTTTGTCACCCAGGCTGGAGTGGCACAATCATAGCTCACTGCAGCCTCAAGCTCCTGGGCTCAACCTCCTGCCTCAGCCTCTCGAATAGTTGGGACTACAGGCATACGCCAACACTAGGTTAATTAAAAAAAATTTTTTTAAATAGAGGCAGGATCTCACCGTGTTGCCCAGGTTCATCTCAAACTCCTGGGCTCAAGTAATCCTCCCATCTTGGCCTCCCAAAGTGCAGGGATTACAGGTGTGAGCTACTGTACCCAGCCTATTATTTTATTTTTTGTAGAGACACGGTCTCACTATGTTGCCCCAGTGTGGGGTAGGGCAGCTCAGGCAAAGATTTTCAGAATAAGAAGAGGATGAAGTTCTCTGGGGGTGGAAAGGTTTATTCTTTTTTTGTTTGTTTTTGTTTTTTCGAGGCGGAGTTTTGCTCTTGTTGCCCAGGCTGGAGTGCAGTGGTGTAATCTCAGCTTACTGCACCCTTCAACTCCCAGGTTCAAGGAACTTTCCTGCCCCAGCCTACCAAATAGCTGGGATTACAGTCGTCCGCCGGCTAAGTTTTTGTATTTTTAGTAGAGACGGGGTTTCACCATGTTAGCCAGGCTGGTCTCGAACTCCGAACCTCAGGTGATCCACCAGCCTAGACCTCCCAAAGTACTGGGATTACAGGTGTGAGGTATCGCGCTCCGACAAAAGCTTTATTGTTTGAAAGATGCCATATACAGAACCCTCAGTCAGATTCTCACATCTTTTCTAACTGAAATCCCAAAGCACTTTCCCTCCAACTGTGTCTGGGGGAAGTATTCCTTACACAACACATCAGGGGACCACTGCCAGAGCAGTGGGGGACCCAACTGGATCTTCAAAGGTTCCACTCTGAGCGCAAGAGTGTACAACAATCTGCCCCTCCAACACTGGCACTGGGATTAAAAGAAGCGTTGTGCTCTTTGAAATGGATTTTACATACAAATGAACGGATGAACACCATCAACATGTCAGCTTAATTCAGTCCAATCAATACACCAGGCATTAAAAACTCGGAGGTAAAAATGGATTGTGGCTTTTTGTTGATGACACTGAGGAATTTTGGCCCCGAGCCCTGGTCAGGCAGGACAAATAGGGCAGTCTGCCTAGTAGCTGTCAGGCACATCTTGGCGGATAAAATCAAGACCCCAAGTCAGGGCTGGGGCACCATGGAGCACAGCAGTCTCCACTTTTGCCCCCAAAGTCATTTTCCCAGCTTGACCACACTTTGCATTTCCTGCATTCCTTTTCCCTGCCCCAACCCCTTCGTCCCAGCCTCAGAGCTGACAGCTGGGGCTGGCCAGAGCCAAGCAAGAGGCAACGAGAACGGGGGATGCTAAGGGGTGCAGGTTGGAAGGGGATGTCAGTGTAACCAAGAAGTGATCGGAGGGGAGGAGAGGTCCCTTCACCCTTCACATTCCCAGTCCGGCGCCCCCACTCTCCGCCCCCACACTTGAGTCTCCTAGTGGCTCCTGTGAGCTTCCGCTGTTTAGGGGCACCCTTTCCATTCTGCCTCTTTTCAGTTCCTTCCCCCCTCACCTCCCCTTGGGACCCCTGCCGGGTCCCCAGGCGATCAGGCTCCGCTTGGCCGCACGCATCCTGCCTTCTCCTCCAAGCCCGCCCCTGACCCTCCTGCCCTTCTCCCCAGGTCAGCTGGGATACCCTGGGGTCCCCGACATTCCTGGGATCGCCCAGATCTGCACGCCAATGTCCCCGCTCACGACCCCCTCGCTCCGTCCTCAACTGGGGCCTGCAAGACTTCTATTCCCTTCAAAGCCCCTCCTGGACACCGCGTCCCTCAGGGTTCCCCAGGGATGCCCCGGGGGTCCCCCGTCCTCACCTGAGTCCGCTCGAAGCTCTCGCGCTCCGCCGCCTCCAGCCCGGCGCCGACCCCGCGCCGGCTCAGCACCTTGGGCAGCGGGTTAGGCACCTGCTTCATAGAGCTGGCCATCCGATCCATGTCGCCGCGAGGAGCCGAGTCTGGGGCCCTCGGCCGCCCCGGGATCCCCACGGCGCCGCCCGCCCCGCCCTACCCGCGGGGATCCGGCGTTAACGGGACGGCTCCCGCCCGCCATTGGCTGTGAGTTCTGCCAGTCTTCCTGAAACCCCGCCCCTTGCCGAAAGGCTTTCCCGCCCGCCCCCGCCCCATCAGGAGCCCCTCTGCTGGGTCAGCCCCGACTGGCCCCTCGGGGCCTCGAGGCGCGCAGTGACTGGTCTGGAGTGCTGTCAGTCACCGGGGCAGCGCCGTTCTCGGTGAGGCCGGGGCGGGGCCTGGACGGGGCGGGGCCTGAACGGGGCGGGGCCCGGGGACGGGCTGCCCTGATATGCCCTCGCTCGCCCCGTCCCCGCCCGCGCGCCACCCTCTCCTCCCCCCGCCCGCAGTCCCCGCGCGCCCAGGGCGGGCTGCCCTCCGCCGAGCGCCGCCCACTGCCCTGGCTGCTCCTGCTGGGGGTGCCCCGCGAGGGCCCGGGGTGGTAGGCGGGGATCGCGCGGGCTGGGAAGTGGGGCCTCCCCCGGGGGAATCCCAGCCTGTCTGCGAATAGCTCGTTAGCTCCTTCCGGGCCTGGGACCAGGGAGCGCCGGACCAGCTCCGCGGCCGCAGCCGCGAGAACGCAGCCCCGCAGGCTGGCGCAGCGTGGGCGCCTGGCCGGACCCGGCCTCAGTGGGTAGCCGCCTCCACCCAGCCCCCAGGCTTCCCATCCTGCTCCTCCTCATCCTGCCCCTGCCCATTCTGCCCCTGCCCATGCCTTCTGCAAGGATCGCAGAGCCCAGGTCCCGGAGCTCAGGGCTGAGTCCGCGGGCACCTCCCGGGACCTCCCTTCCAAACCTCATCAAATGAATCCGTCAGAACTTATTTGTTGGTAGAAACCCCTACAGACACTTTCTGTTTATCTTAGGCTCAGGCGCGCATCCCATCCTGCTCAGACGTCAGCCAGGGTACCAGCAAGCAGAGAGAAGTGTGATGCTTAGCAGAGACGCTGGAGAAAGTTAAAGTTTTTGGTTAAATTCCAATTTAGGTATTTTTGTTTGTTTTCATTTGGAGTCAGAATCTCCCTCTGTCGCCCAGGCTGGAGTGCAGATCATAACACATTGTGGCCTTGAGCTCCTGGGCCCTAGCGATTTTCCTGACTCGGCCTCTCTAGTAGCTGGGACTACAGGTGCATGCCACCACGCCTGGCTAATTTTTTAATTTTTTTTGCAGAGATAGAGTCTATGTTGTCCAGATTGGTCTCGAACTCCTGGCCTCAAGCAAGCCTCCCGCCTTGGCTTTCCAAAGTGCTGCGATTTCGGAAGTGAGCCACAGCACCTGGTGTAGATCTATATTTTTAAAGTTTTTTGAAACTCAAAGTAATGAATGGCACCTTTAGGCATAACAATTTGGTGATTCAAGTGTGTTTGTTTTTTTTTTTTAATTTGATCAGGCAAGGTGGCTCACCCTTGTAATCTCAGCGCTTTGGGAGGCCGAGGCAGGCGGATTGCCTGAGCTCAGGAGTTTGAAACTAGCATGGGCAACATAGCAAGACCCTATCTGTACAAAAAATTTTAAAATTAGTTGGGTGTGGTGGTGCAAGCCTGTAGTCCCAGCCACTCGAAAGGCAGGAGGACTACTTGAGCCAGGGAGGCAGAGGTCATAGTGAGCAAAGATCGGGCCACTGCTCTCCAGGCTGGGAGACAGAGTGAGACCCCATCTCAAAAAAAAAAAAAATTTACTTCTTTGTAGTGAGAGGAACGTTGCTGGGTTGCCCAGGCTGGTCATGATCTCCTAGGCTCAAGTGATCCTACCACCTCGGCCTCCCAAAGAACTGGGATTACAGGTATGAGCCATCCTGCCCCGGCATTTTTTTTGGTGGGGGTGGTCGGGGGGATGGAGTCTTGCATTGTTGCTGGACTGGAGTGCAATGGCTGATCTCAGCTCACTGCAACTTCCACCTCCTAGGTTCAAGCGATTCTCCTGCCTCAGCCTCCCAAGTAACTGGGAGTACAGGTGCCCAATACCACACCCGGCTAATATTTTGTGTTTTTAGTAGAGATGGGTTTCACTATGTTGGTCAGCTGGTCTCCAACTCCTGATCTCGTGATCCGCTGGCCTCAATCTCCCAAAGTGCTGGGAATGCAGGCGTG